GGAGTATGTATTATACTTTCTTATGATAATATTGTTGTTAAAGGCTGGCAAATTGAGAGATGGTGCACGCTCAGTGACCCGAACAATACAGAACAATTTCTTTGATGGCAGCAAACAAGAAGCAATAGATATTTTGTTGCTAGGTAACTCACTAGTTGGCAAATTAGCAGACAAAGCAGGCAATATTTTACCAAGAGAATATTTACATTGTAAGTATGTGTCTTTCAGTTTAGTATTTTATTTTATCTTATCGGGCAGTGAATGTAGTCAATTAAGGATTAAAATGTGCTTCTATGTCAATGACTTGTTGACACAGCCATTGAAATCAGCGACATTAACCAAAAGTTGTAGTGGTGCAACAAAATCAAAAACTTTGCAACACTATCTGTGAATGATAATAATTTGACCTGAATGATCTGAGGTCGCATTAGCTGTACAGTAGCATTTAACACTTGACGTAATATATTAACCTCGCCTCGTCTAACTAATCTAGGTTAGGCAAAAAGATTGGCTTACTGTAAGATAATCCAGAAAAGTGTTCAAACCTCACTAAGTTGTGTTATATCTGTCAGTCTAATAATAATAATAATTATTATTATAATTATTATTATTATTATTATTAATTATTATTATTATTATTATTATTATTATTATTATTATTATTATTATTATTATTCCAGTCATGGTATGTTAAGCTCTGTCCAGACTATCATATTCTCTTTGACAAAAAAGAACTATTACAGTATATGCCGATATATAGTCATGGTTTGCCTCTATATGGTCATGCCATGATGTTATCATGACCATATTTGGCATGTCACCTGTTTTTGTCAAAAAACATTATTGGTAGTGTTAACAGGGCTTAAATGTGTAGGTAAGCGTACTGATTCACACTATATCTGTTAAGCCAGGCACTAACTGCACCCGATGGTTGTTGTCCTACGCGGTTCTACAGAGGACGCAACACGATGACGGGCGCAATGGATCGTTTTTAATGACTATCCATCCAGACAACAATCAGCAGGCGGTGTTGTGTCATGTAGCGCTCACAGGAAGCAGAGTTGGTTTCTTCATGTGATGGTCATAAGACCGTCGTACAACACAGTCATTGCCCGGCTTTAAGTACCCGTTTGATGCCTGGATGGAAGGTAGTACTCTATATGAATGCAGTATATTGCCCAAGGGCGACCAAGTGGTCCACGTTGGATTAGAATCCTAGACCTTTTTGTTTGAAAGCCCAAAGCATAATAATGCTATGCCATGTGTCATCTTTTTCTTTGCACTTTTTCTAGCCTCTCCTTCTACTCTTCATGCAATGTGTGAACGTGAGCATCAATTCTCAAAGCCGACTCCCCTTCGCGTCAGTGTCGGCACTTGGAATGTTAATGGAGGAAGACATTTTCGAAGCGTGGCATACAAGCATCAATCAATGACGGACTGGCTGTTAGATAATCATATCATAATGCAAAAAAAATTTCCAGGTCAGTATGTGTCTTACACGTAGGTTTGAGAGAGATCCTTAGATGCCCTAGTCATAAAAATTCCATTGCCTAGACCAGATAACAAAACACTGCTCATGAATATGGAAAGTAAATAGGTTTAAGATGATATCCTTTCCCATTGATCAATTATATCACTGGCTTCAATGGTGAACTATAATGTTGACTTGTTCCTTGTCCATACTTTCTGAGACTGGCTTAATTTGGTGGATGTTGAACAGGGCTGAGGCCATATCTGGTCATGTTTAGTCCTTGCACTTTTTATTTACAGTTATTCTTGTATATACATTTTATATTGTTTTGTAATGTTGATGCAGATATATGACCTTAATGGCTTAAATATTCAATGAAATTAAAATTGTTGATGCTAATAATGGTTGCAAAACAACAAAGAATTCTACAAATTTGTCCTCCATTAAAAATGTGTGTATAATTTCTATGAATCTTTTATGGATGTTTGGAATTCATTTTGTTTGTTTGACCACAATAACAAAATAAATACAGAAAAATGGCCTGGGGATTAAGCAAATACATCACTATAACTCTTTCAGGTCTACTGGGGGATATATTATACCTTCATATATAAACATTTCAAATTGTCGATTGAATTTTCTTCACTGGTTTTGATTTCTATTGTACTATACTTTTGTTTATAGGGTCTGTAGATTCCAGTGTGGATTTCTCAGTTCCTGTAGATGTATATGCAATTGGGTTTGAAGAGATGGTAGATTTAAATGCAAGCAATATAATCAGTGCAAGGTAGGAATTCTATTTATTTCTATAAATAACTGAATGCATAAAATTTATTCATTAATATGAATTTCTATTAGAGCAAGCTTTCAGTGTTTTTTTAAGGGTTATATTTTAAGTAATATTTGGCAAATAAATATGTGTTGCCAGGCTCAACTAGCCCAAAAATATTGAGTGAATGTCTAAGGGTTTTTGTTTTATTTGTTTGTTTGTTTTGTTTTCCCCCTCCCCGTCTAAATTTATCAAAATTATAAATAAAAATGGATAAAAAAAGAAACTTATATTCAAATTTAAATCAAAAAATGTCATTTCTGGCCATCTAGAGGTGCCATAAGCATAAATTTTATTACACCAGCCTCAACCATGGTGGTCTAGACTCTCCATCTGCCAGTGTCTCTCCCTGGGCCCCTCTATTTCAAATTCCTGGATCTGCCACTGTTGTATCTGTCTTTGCCCTCTAGATTTGTCATCAGTAGACTTGATATATTGTGTTATTTTATAGTTATCTCTGTTAGAAATCTACAAATATACTGTATTTCCTAATTAAACACAATCATAAATATGTACAATACACACATCTTTCTGTTTAAGAGTACTATGTGGGAATCGATAGGTTTGAACTTCACCTTTCTGATTACTAGCTACAGTATGGAGTATTCCCCAGGGGGGCCACGTATGTTTTCTGTAGATGTTTGATTTGATGGTGAAGATAATAATGTTTTACTTGTTGGTATGATGCACTATATAAAATTATGAGTGGAGACAAAAAGTTTTCATGTATTTAGCATAATTAGCATATATATTATATATGAAATACAGCAAAAACCATTAACATTTTGCTAAACAGTAAATGCACACTTAGCTTTATAGAGTTATGAGCAATTAACTTAAATATGAAACCATGTTTGTAACACCATTTGCACAAGAAAACTTCCACATTGAAACAATGTAAACATTTCTCATGCTACATTTATAACTGTACTATACCAAACCTGAGAGCCCATGTATTGTTTTGTTCTCAGTGATGTTGCAGTGGATAAAGTAAAAACAGGACTAAAGGGTAAATCAGGAAACAAGGGGTCAGTCGCAATTCGCTTTCTCCTCTACAATACATCAATGTGTTTCGTGTGTGCCCACTTTGCAGCAGGTCAGTCACAGGTCAAAGATCGCAATGAAGATTATGCTGAAATTACTAAACGAATCATGTTTCCTATGGTAAGTTTTGAATCATCACTAATATATAGGGCTTTGTAATAAATAATATCTGATTGATTGTTTGATTGATTGATTGTTTGATTGATTGATTGATCGATTGATTGATCAATTGATTGATTAATTGATTAGAGCTAAGCTTGAGTCTTTGCCTTGAGTCTTAAGCAATACTTTCAAATATTGCTGACACCTTATTCTGACTTTGAACTAGAGTCAGAAATTTTTTCACTCTAAGATGTCGTTTTTAGGGTTTTCAGGAAATTTTCATGAAGGTATGTGTTTGGTTATTAGTGAATAGGTGCATGCAATAGGGTTGCTTTGAAATTTATTTATGTCTATTGTGGATATCACTTTTCACAATAGTTCAGTTTAAATGTGCAACAATTAATAGGGTCTATTAACAGCATATTAAATTTGAAAAAGAAGACACTCCTGTTTTTTAAAGCCAGACACTCATTCCGCACAATTGTTGTCTGTTGACGTGATTCTATGAAGAATCACATGCAATGACGATCCATTCTGAATGCCACCACCAATCAGTATTACGTTGTGTCTAGCACTCAAAGGAAGCGGAGTTGGATTCGTCATGCAACGGTCGAATGACGAAGTGAATGATCAGCTTAACAGAAAACAGAGATACAGTATAATCAAATAATCAAATTCCTTCCATACGTTTTAGTAACAATGTGTAGATCATTCTACGTGCAATGACGTACTGTATGTGTGAAGCTTTATAGGCAGAATCAAGGGAGGGAGCAGTCAACCTATGGCCCCTCTAAATTTAAAAAAATTATAAACAGAATGGAGAAAAAACGAAAATTATATTCAAATTTATGTCTGAGAGTGTCATTTCCAGTCATCTTGAGGTGCCATAATTTTAAATTACCTCAGCCCCAACCAGGGTGAGGCTTAGCTGGTTTAACCCCTCCATCTATGAAAGTCCCTCCCTGAGCCCCTTCTAAGTATTTTGAATTTCTCGATCTATCTCTGAGCTTGGCAGCTTATGAAATCCGATCAGTTAATATGTGCTTGGATTCTACACACATACTCTAATATGAGACTGACCTAAATATGTGTGCTGCCACATCAAATTTTGCCAGGTAAAAAGTCAATTTTTGTCTTTCCTTCAGGGTCGTACTTTGTCATCGCATGATTACGTATTCTGGTGTGGCGATTTCAATTACAGAATTGACATTGAAAATGAGGAAGTCAAAAGTCTTGTGTCAAGCGAGAACTGGGAAGCATTAAAGAGTTTTGACCAACTGTTGTTGAATTATGCTGAAGGCAAGGTAAACTTGGATGTTATGTAAATAGCACTGAAATATGAAATGCCAAAATTAAAACATCTGTCTCATGCTCCCACCTTGGTTAGCCACTGCTCCTGCATCTGTAGTAGTATTATGTTTGTCTTATAAAGTGCATAATAACAATTAAGGCCTCCATATGACTCACTTTAACACCTAAAACCTTCTTAGTTTCATCGGAAATTAATCTGCTGGAGAAATCACATTTGAACCTACCAAGTACCCACTTTACACTCTATAAGAGAGACATTATTCAATATAGTGTCCAAAGACAGAAACAAGTAACAATTTATCTGGCTGGCTACAAACCCAAAGCCTCAAATGTAAAGTATGTTGAAAAGGATTAATAGTATATTATTTTTTTAAAAGGTTTTCCAAGGCTTTGCAGAGGGCGATATACAATTTGCTCCCACGTACAAGTATGATCTATTTTCTGATGATTATGATACTAGTGAAAAGAACAGGACCCCTGCATGGACGGACCGTGTCTTGTGGAACCGAAGACGTCTTCCCTACCAAAAACATGGTATGTCAAAGCTCACATGGCGTTAATATCACTATTATTGTCAATATTTACCATTATTTTTCATTATTATTATTATTATTATTATTATTATTATTATTATTATTATTATTATTATTTTTATTAAATATTTATCATTATTATTATTATTCATCATCAATATTATTTATCTTTTTTGATTTTATAATCAAAAATTATTATTACTGTACTATTATTTTTGATATATCATTGATTATTCTTGTTAATAATGTCATTACTATTTTATTTTTGGGACAACAGGGGCTAGCCCTCACTTTCCCACTGGCCACACCACTGCATAGTTTATTAACAGTATTTGACTATGAATTTTTTAATGTTGAGGGACGCATTACTTTGAAGAATCTTATATCTTATCATTAGATGAGGACTCGAATGAGGAAGATCAATGGAATCCTGGAAGAATGTTACAGTATGGTCGTGCTGAGCTGAAGACCTCTGACCATCGGTAGGTAATCAGTGCATTTAGAAAAAACAGTATAGAGTACAACAGTCGTGTCGTCACACCACCAGGTGACGCTCTTAGTTGTCAACCAGACGTTGGACATAATCTTAATGGTTTAGAATAGGCTTTCTGGAATAGGCATTTTAAAACCTAATAATTTACCATTAAAATGTACTAAAACACAAAAGCTCGCATTATATTAGTCATTGAACACACATTTAATCATCAATTAAAATTTACAAAGAAAAATTAAGATACAACATCTTTAATAATTACGTTAGAAATTGAGATCAATGGTTTGTCTGTGGAGACAATGGGTCCGGTTGAACACAATTTGTGTCACTGATAGCAACGGAGTAGTATCACATGGTATCATGACGTAACACTGTAGTACTCTATAGAATAGCAAGATTTCCAACTGCAATAGACAATAGACTTTTAGGGAATAGGAGAACATTCAACTTCTTGGTAATAGAAGAAAATATACATACTGATTCGGCATGCACGCAATAAAACAAAAAGAAAGTACTACCATGAGGTAGGGGGCGCCCTATTATAATTTGAATAGAGATCGAAAATCAAACATGCTGTTCTGTAGATGCAACATGCATTTGATACAAATGTTTTATGTTCTTTTGAAGGCACCCTCTAGTTCATTGTAGTACTTTTCAAGATAAGATTCTGTTTCAAAGGAACCCCAGCAGTTAAACTATTCTGTACTCCTTGATTTAGATAAGTAACAATCCATAGTTGCAGATGCATGCGGTGGAATAATGAGACTGTTGGTGATTCACCATGCCTATGCCCTTGAGCAAGCCACTTTGAAATACATATCTCTCTTTACCCAAGCATTTGCTATTACAGTAAAATCCCTCCTTTGGGACACCCCTATTAGAGGACACCCCTATTAATTTTGGCTGCGAAAGTGAGAGAAGTATATCTTTTAACACTACGGTCAACCCTTATTCAGGGGGAACCCCTATTAAGGGGACACCTTTTTTGGTCCTGAAGGTGTCCCCTTAATAGGGGTTCTAGTGCATTTAAATATTTAACCCGTCTCATTACCTAAGCAGTTGGTATTATTTAAATATTTAACCTTGGAAAAAAATCCCTCTTGTGTTGGCCTAATGTACCAGGTAGTCATACTAAGGATTAATTCTGTATCCAATTACCAAGGAAAAAGTGCTTCATATTTTAAATAAATGGTGCTGTGTAGGTGCTACAAAAAAAAAAAAAAAAAATTAAAATTAAATCAATACTGAAGAAAAAGTGGAGGCAGTTGCTCAATTCTTTTGTCTCTAATGACATTGGTAACCCACAATTTGTATTCTTTTGAAAAGATTAATATAATGAGTATAAAGACATTCATCATCCCTCTCTATTTGCTCAGACCTGTCATAGCTTTGATTGAAATTGTTATCCAAGTTGTGAATGAAGATGACCGAGATGCAATTTACAAGGACATCCTGTGCCAACAAGGTCCAACTGATGGCACTATCATGATTCACCTTGGCATCGGTGGAGCAGAATTCAGTGATAATGTTGTGGATGAGATTTTGAGACTGTTGGCTCAAGTAGGGGAAGTGGTTCTTGTACGGTAAGTATTGCGATGTGTGCATTCCTATCTTGGGGGTTGAAAACTCTTATGGTTGCCATTCTGGTTCTGGTACGGGGACCATGCAAGAGCCTACAAGTGGTTTTGTTTCTTTTTCTATTCGTACATTTAGCCCCTTAAGCTGGGCAGACACTGCATTAAACGCCCATCCGATGACCATTCGTTTAGGAATCCATTTCCACTCTCTGTGAGTTTGTTAGTGCGGCGTCATCTGCTGATAGCTGGTGACAATTTGATCGAAATGTTGAAAATATTCAATTGAGTGTACATGTTGTGCTATGGTCTTTATTAAATCACATCAGCTGATACAGTGTACCCAGAGCGATACTCTATGGAGCTCCTGCAGTTTCTTTTTTAGTTAGTAAACAACGGTGGTTCAAAATTCTAAATCAAATAATCTCTTTCAACAAGAAAATTTTCAATTGTAAGTTATTTATGAATGCTAATGATTATGAAAAATATTTTTTGTTCTTCAAAAGACTTAACCTCTTTGTAACTCGACCTCATCATTTTGACACAAATTATAGGTTTGTTGAAGCAAGTATGGTGGTCACTTTTCGGGATGGAAGGAGTGCTCTTGCGGCATCTGGTTTGAACGGACATGAGGTGTTTGGACATGACCTTGTGATTGAATTGCAGCAAAATGATTGGCTGCAGCAGGTAGAAGAAGAGATATCATTGTGCACATCAAACACAGAGCGACTTTACGAGCCTGTCAGCAACAGCTTGTTGGGAGAAAGCTTTGATTACCCGTCTATGAGTTTTGAACTGGATGGTAAGCTTACCTTAAATGTTTGTTTTCATTTTCTAATTTATTTTATTTGAAAGTCCCAGTCACTCATGTTCATGTGATCATTAAATTAAAAATTTAATTTCATTTGTGTGCACTGGGTTTATTCGACTGGTTCATTTCAATTAGTACGAACTTTCGTTGAGTATTATTTTCATTCAACTGGTTTGTAAAATAGACTTCGTTGACAAGGAAAATTAGCGTAATCAGAATGTGTTAATCAGTGTTAAGTTATGCACGTGACCCAAAAAAAATATGGCCGATTGGTCAGTTTAGCAACAACATTTGCGTTAATATAATTTAGATTAAATTTCGGAAAATAAAAATTATATTATTTACCCACATTGAAGTAAAAAAATAATTGTAGGCTAACAGAATTCAAAAACTGGATGAAAACATTTTTTTACGAAAAACCCATACTGCCACATTCTGAAGCAGCCTTGATTACACTGTATCGCGGTAACTATGCAGCCATTTTGTTTTGTCGAGTATTTACCAGTTTTCTATTTGACTGGTCGTCTTCGATAAATAGGATTTTACCACTGCGCAGGTGGGCGTGGGCTAACGAAGAATGACCAGTTCAATACGGCCACTGTGCGAGTGACAGAAACAGAACATTAAACTTGAAGTCGGACACTCATTGCACTTGATGGCCATCAGCTGGCGTGGATCTATGGAAAAGGCAATTCAAAGACATGCACAATGCGTTTAACGACGATCGGTTCAGACTGCCACCGCTTACAGGAAGCGGAGTTGGATTCGTCAGCCGAAGGACGTATGACCGTCATATGATGCAGTGAATGTCCAGCTTTAAATTTCCTACACAGAACTTAAAATTGAAAGTTTAAATAATGAAGCACAATTTTAAAACCATAGTACCATACCTGACAATTGTTAGGTGTTGGATTTTTTTTTTAACTTAACTTGCAAATCGGTAATTAATGGATTACAGTATGTGCAATGGGGTAAATATTTCAAATAATAAACTACTGATCGGTTTTTTTCTTTTTTCCAGATGAAGATATTCAGTTTTTAGCAAGTGAAGAAAATGAAGGATTAACCCTTCAAGCTCCTTTGGTACCTGAACTTGTAAGCTCGAGGTCGTCCAGTCCATCTGTTGAAGACACAAGCAATGGAGAGTCTCAAAAACCCTCAAGACCATCTAGACCACCACCATTGTCAAAGACAAGACCTCCTAGACCAGGTGCACCACCTGAAAGACCAAAGGCACCACCAGAGAGACCAAAAGCACCACCTAAAAGACCACCAAGTAGGCCTTCACTACCAGTTAGACCACAGAGCACAACATTGGTATCTAATGTGCCAGTTAATGGCTCAGTGCCTCTTTCAAAACCAGCCACTGGCTTAGTTCCACCAGCAAGACCATCGGCTAGCCCAGTACCGCCAACAGTTGAACCAATAAAGCCTGCTAGACCAACAGGTGGGCCTTCAGCACCTGCAAGGCCGTCAAGTGGACCAATAGCACCACCAAGGCCAGCAGGAGTGCCTGCAGCACCGCCAAGGCCAGCAGCAGGACCAGTGCTTCCTGAAAGGCCAACAGTTAGTCCAGTTCCATCTGGAGTAATGACAAGTGTACCTACATCGCCCGAGCCTACTCTGATTCCACTTGAAGCAACCTCAGCAGTCAGCAAGAATGAAAATGGTCCATCAGTTGCACGGAGTCGACCAGGAAGTACATCTACAAAGTTGAAATTAAATTCTCTGCAAAGGAATGAATATAACAGAGTAAGTGTGATTTGTTGACATTTCACAACAAATTTGATGAATGCAACTTTGCAACTTTACCTTCTCCACAAGAAATAACAAATGCTAAAGTTATAAAGAATTTAAACTTTTAGGAATTTTATATTTATAGTACTCTTTATTTGGAGTTGAGTTGAATAACTTAGTGGTTAAGATGCTTGCCTTCTAAATCCCAGTCCTGGATTCAATTCCTGTCACAACTTTTTCTCATGACTAAAAATAACTCCACTCCGTAGGCCTCATAATAGGGGAGACTTGGTTTATAAAGCATCGTTCCATCCTGTAAGTAGTGAGAGTACTTGCTGTTGGATGTAGAAAATTGTTAATGACTTTCTCAACACAGGTATATTTCATGAAATATTTTTGTGTTATACAGTACTGGTAATGCTTTTTGATTTTTTGCCTTTCACAGCCACATTCTATCAGTACACCTTTTGAATTCAATCATGATATTCACGCCACATCTGAAGAGGAGGCTCTTGCACTCCTGCAAAACCTTGGAATGGATGTCAGCAAGGTAGAGGCAGGCAGTAGCATTCCTTCCTCTTCTGCATCATTACCAAGGAACCTAGGAAATTTGAATAAACAGCCTGCTGTCGATGGAGAAAAAATGTTGGTAGATAATAAGGAAACTGAGGCAACCAGACCAACGCCACAACCAGTTCCAAGAAGACCAAGTTCTCAGCCTATAAATAATGGATTGTCACAAGAGGTTTTAGAGAACACTGCAGAAGAACCACCACCTATACCTCCTACCAGGCCTAAGCGTGCCTCACAGAGGTCAAAACCTACTCCAACTTCAATTTTGGAGCCAGAGGTAGTTAGCCAAACTGCCCCAGGTGTGAAGCCTACAGAGGATGTGAAAGACACAAATAGGCCTAGTAGGCCTGCACCACCAGTCCCTCGTGCTAGGCCTAGTATGAATAAAAAGAACAGTGAGGATGCTGCACTTATTAAAAGCTTTGGCCCTCCTCCACCTGTCCCAGCAGCTAGGAGACAGGATTCGACTACAGATGAAAAACCAGATTTAATAGAACAAGAAACACCCCCACCCATTCCAACAGCGAGACCAAGGAAAAAGAAAATTGTGAAAACAGAAAGTGAGTCAAATGAAAAAAATGTAGATGGAATAGATGGGGGAAATGTACCTCCGCCACTTCCAACTCGACCAATTAATGTAACAGTAATTAATAAAGAAGAACAAGACACAATTTTATAGATAGGCCTAGGTAGATAGAACCAAATTACTATAGACATTTACCATAAAACAGAGTATCTTTGTGTAAGCCTGAATGTATCAATTCCAAATTTCCCACCTTGATCCTTCTCTGGAGGTGCTTTTAGGTCGACCTAATGCTTGTATTATGTAATTCTAAATGCTACCTAACTTGATGCAGGCATAGGATTAACAAATTTCTAAACCTAAATTTACAGTGTACAAAAGCACCTAGCATGGCAAATCCTTTCCTTTCTTCCACTTGTATATGCAAAACAGACTATAAAAATGTATTTATTGACCATCTTTATAGATGTGATACATTAAGTGTAGCTACTGATGGTATTTAAATACAAGTTTATATTAGGATATAGATATATACTTGAAGTGTATTTAGATGTGATTAAAAAAAAAACACTATTAAAACCATTGAAACTAGTGGTAAAATGGGTTAGAATATTAAAATAATTTGATAAGGAATGTACAGTATGGTGGTAAAAGCTTAGTTTCCATACTTTTTTCATCAATTCTTCTGTTGTTTGTATAATGCTTTTCTTCGCATATATAAAGTGTTGGCCCCACATTGCACCCCAAAATCAAAAGCAAGTGTATGCCCAAGCCCTAACAGACAAGAAAGTTCCCAAATGGAGAAGCAGTGAAAACCTTAAAAGTTAATATACTGTATTTATTTCAATAATCCCTGGATCGTTTATTGTTGAAGGGGTTTCAAGGGAGGCGTTTATTCGATGTTAGTGTTTATTTATTTATTTATTTATTTTTTTTTTAATTTGAAATGGATACATATTTACTCAAATAAATGCCCTAATAATTTTACTGTAAATGTTACAACAGATGATTACTGTCAAAATGTGTTTTTTGTGTGATCATAAAGACTTTTTGATCCTACCAGGTTAGAAAAAATGCAATTCTACTCTAATAGAACATTAATAGGTGTTGAGAATGACGTTCCATTGGTTTTGTTCAGTCATTTAAAGGGGAGTTTATTAAAGAAAAATAAACAAATGCCCTGTTGTGTTTATTCGAGGAGGTGTTTATTTGAATTGAGGCTCGTGGGCCGCTTTTTCAAAGTGGGGCGTTTTTTCGAATAAATACAGTAGTTTTAAACTGTATATGCTAGATGGACGTTACTGCACAAAGTTCAGATTTAATGAAGAAAACATTTCCTGAGCTTGTGTTTGATTCATTATAGGCTTAATCTTACAAGTTTATTAGTAAAAGATAAAGAGTGGTACTTGTCATGGATTTACTAAATTACTTAGTGGGCTTACACAGTGTTTTGAATAGTAGGGGGTTAGCAAAAGGATGACGATGATGTTGGTGGTGGTAATGATAATGATTGTGATGAAAACGATGATGATGAGGAGGAACAGAAGGAGAATGGGGAGGGTTGGGTTGAGAATGAAGGTGGTGATGATGATCATGAGAATGATGATGATCTGTTATTTCCTGTAATATCTACAGTTAAGTTCATGTGAAACAGATGCTGTTATAATGTTGTTTTTTTTTTAATATTGTACATTTAATAAATTTTATAAGTTGAACAGTTGCTTTTAAAAATGGTGATAGAATCTGGTGCTTTGACTTAAATAGTATTAGTATTGGTGTATTTAGTATTAAAAACTAAGTTCAATTTTAACTTGATTACTTTCCATACTCAACCCAAAATATCCCTATTACTGCATGTCCCCAAGCTAGAGGTCATCTATTTTAACTCTACCTTATACAATGTATATCCATTACTCAGAGGCGGATCCAGTTTTTTTCAAATAGGGTGTGGGGTACATCAGTTTCAGAATGGATAAGTGAGAGCACGCAACATGCAATTTTTAAAATTTATTAGCAAAACGGGGGTGGGGCACGTTCCCCCACCCGCCATTAATGGATCCGCTCCTGTTACTTGGGTTCCTCCATTCCTCCTTTAAGTACCTGTGATTATATGTGTTTAAATTTGGTATGTGTGTTTAAAACAAGGTTTTAAAAATGTCAAAGTTTAGTTGTTATGTAAATAGTTATATATGTCATAGGTACATTCCTGATTTTGTGCTTATATAATATTTTATAAATTTTATGCCATTTTTTATATGTGTTTATACCATGAGTGTTAATATATTTATGACTACCATTTATTTTTAGTATTTTCCAATAAGAAATATATACCGAACTTTAGTTTAGATTTCTTCATTAAATCTATAAATAACAAAACTATGTAAAGTAATATAATTTATAATAATTTGATTTTTTTGATTGGTATCAAAGTATCAAACAACGTATAGTACTGTTATATTAGAGTCATATTAATGTAATATTTGCTAGAGATGTATAATTATATTGTAATCTTTATGATTATTGTTAGTTAATAGTGTTCAGGTACTGTATTGAGCCTAGAACTATACTACAGGAAGAATTACATATGCTGTACTGTAGTACATTATTTACTTGTATGCATCATATTCTGTAGTGGGCCTGATGCTATTCCTGTGTGTATGTTTGTCATATGTGCAATCGACCTTTCCATATCAACATTGTATAGCTGTGTAAATCCACGACAAACAATATAAATTATTGTGAATACCTGTATTAATCATTGGAATATATACAGTATTTTTTTTTTTCATGAGGGATGGTGGTTTTAGAGTTCTTTAAAAATTTGGAGTAGTGGTATTGAAATTTAGCAATCTGGAATTGATAAGCATGTAGCCATGGATGTAGTACCAATTAATATTCCATTAAGTCCATTATTTGATTTATACTGCTGACTTCAATTCATTATTTTGCAATTTCCTTTCCCTTTCTCTTATTTTGTATTGGTTTAAACATCCCAACTCATGGGAGTCTCCCGGAAATAGGGATGGCCTCCCACACTCCAGCAAGTAAGCAAGAATCCCTCGGAAAATATCCAATCTCACAAATTCATAATATTTGCATGTTTTTACTATTTTATTATGACATGTCTGATGGAAGTCAGTGCTGATGGCCATCACCATTTGCAGCAAAATAAAATGAAATATGTTAAGAAAGAAAGCTCTTTTAACTAGATCTCTTGCAAGGGATTTCTTCTAACCTGACCCTGCCAACCATGACTAGTATTCGTAAGGAATTCGGCCCCAGGTTTATTTATTTTTTATTTATTTATTTATTACATTTTTTCTCCATAGTAGAGATGGTAGGATGGGGACCGCCAAATTCACAAGGTTCAAGGCCGCACATCACTGGGGTTATTGAAAACCAGTTTTCTATTTTTTTATTTTTTTTTTATTTTTGCATCTCTTACATTTGTCTTCCCTCCATTTATCTGATCCTGTTTCTTCTTAACATTTCTTGGTCTCTTTTTGTTATGTATTAGCAAAGAACTTAAATAGCAAAAAAATGAGCTGTTCCGCGTATTTGCATTAAAATTGATGGAACATCCGCCCTCCCGCGAATGGAATAAAATTTGAATATTTTACTTAAGTGGAGAAACTAAAGAAACAAACGAACCAGAGCGGCGCCTTTATTATTACTATATAGCGCCGCCGCGCGGATGGGGTAAAATTGCTCTCCGTAGACTCGCAATGCATTTGGAACGGATGTTCCACTTTATTGGGAAGCTGCTCTATCTTCTGCTATTTATTATCTTTGTTATTAGTTAAACTTTCGTATTGTATGCATTATAATTGACCAGTGATTACTGAACAAAGGTCAAAGTACTGTAAAGTAACTGGCACTACTTGAGTAAATCCATGGTCAGAGCGTGCAAAGTGATTAGCACAAATTTTTGCCAGTAATAGTGTTTAGTATAGCAGCAATAATGTTCTATTCTTTTTCTCTATCGATTAAGTGTTAAGAGAGGGACAATGGGCCTATATAGCATGTGAAGTTATGAATAAATATTCAAAGTACTGTATTCAGTGTAAACGACATATCTTTATTTTGGTCTTGTCTGTATCATCCGCAACAATGTTGTTCTACCTTATAGAGAAAAAAAAAATACTAAGACAATGAACACCCATCAGATTCGAACACACAAACGTTTGATTGGAAACCGAATTCTTATTCAAACCGTAAGGCATGTCGGTTAGGAAGTGTGTGGACACGATATGAAGAAGTAGAGCGTCGAAAAAGCCTCGGGTAGCACTTGTTTATGTATTCGAAATAGAAGGGGTCCAGAAATTTAATTTTACAGATGGAGGATCCAGACTATCTCACTGCCATACTTGGGGCTGAGGCACGAAATGTTATATTTTGTGGCCAGAAATGGCAGATTTAATTTGGAAACAATAGGCCTAGAAAGATTATAATAACAAACCTGTCGGACCCGGCAATCGTTAACTATATAGTAACCCTTCACTGGGCATAGGGCACAGTGGGAAAAATTCGGCCCGGCATTGATTTTGCGCCCGACACCGACCGTCTCTAAAAAGTAGTATTTAAACTGAGAATAAAGTGGTGTAAAAGCAGTGATTGAAGGGTTTTGGAAGCACACTGGAAAAATTTTGGGTGCGGCCCTCGGTGCTAAGTATATACTTACAATCATTCACACTTTATTCCACCATGGTCATACCAAAATTTAATGAAACAAACCTCACGGACCCGACGATCCTTAGTAAGCATACTCTTTTATTTATTTTTATTTCATCTCATCTCACTCAACAACTTACACGCCATTACAGGATGAATAAACATTTTAAAAGTACATTAGTTAAAAATCACAATATATCGGATAGCATCAGTCAGTTAAGGGGGTACAGGGTGGCAGGGCCCCAGACTTTGTCCTGGATCCCCGCTGCCTGCCAGAGGTGGCTAATGAGGTTCATTGACATTTCTACATGTCGATAGTTGATTTATACATTATTAATTGAGATCAAACGGGTTGAGGTACGTAAGATAGCCATATAACCATATATTGTAATATTTTTCTGACCGGGGGCCCTTTGCCGCGGCCCCCTGTCCCCTAGCATTTGTAACTGTCTCTTATACACATCTAGATGTGTATAAGAGACAGCTACTGATATCAGTTAACAGTAGTACACTTTAAAATCTCTCTATCTCTGAAATATTTTCGAAATTGAAGATAAAAAAGAAAAGATACCGTAATGAAACAATGTTTAAAAACATTGTTCTGTATATATCGAATGAGGTTGACCTGCGTATGTTTTTTTTGTGTGTGTGTGTTATATGCATGCGTGTTATTTTACGTATTTGACTATACTACTACTACTACTACTACTACTACTACTACTACTACTACTACTACTACTACTACTACTACTGCTATTACTACTGCTACTACTACTGCTACTACTACTGCTACTACTACTACTATTTTTCGACGTTTATTTCCGAGTATCATCATCACCACCACCATCATCGCAACACCATGACAGATTAACATACAATTTAAAGGAAAGCAGAGGGCAAAGTTTTAAATCACATCATTTTTTTCCCCTTTATTATTTTTTATTGGTAAGATTATTTTATAAGGTTATATATATATATATATATAGAATCCCCTTTTGTTTTGGGGGAATATGTTGACCCCACCCCCTAGATTTCATTCCGGGTCTGCATGATTCATATTCCCATTTATCTTATAAGTGCCCCCCACCCCACTTTGAAAAACGTTCCGCCGGCCCTGGATAGTGCATAGTTGGCATCGTCGGCTGTTACAAGCCACGTTACCGTGAGTAGGATTAGCCGAGGGTAATTTGGAGGAAGTGAGGAGAGATTTAAGATTGCGGGGTTGTGGGGGGGGGGGGAAAGGTTAGGAGGGGTTGACGTTGAGAGAATAGGAGGATGAAGGTAGAGATCAATATTAGGGTCTTTCTAAAGAGTTTTGTAGTCGTGCTTAATTGAATTACCAAGAGATTTAATGAATGGGATGTGATTGACAGGTCTATGGATGTAAGACAAAAGGTCTGAGCGGGATTTAGCAGATGCTTTCGAAATAGCAGATATTATTAATTTGAGAGGATAATGACAATTCAAGAAAAGAGCTGTGAGGCGAGAGAGCTGTTGTTGATAGTCTGTCGGGTCCGAACAGATTCGCTGAGACACCAGGGGTGGCGCCAGCGGGGGTGGCCATGCCCCCCCCCCCCTTTTCGGGGAGAAAAAGCACAATTCGTCGGGGAGAAAAACAATTATAAGTATTTTCTACATAAGTCTATTAGTAGATTCTAAATCGATTAAATAAGCTTGAAACCCCTAAATTGTCAACATTTTCAGGGGCTTCGCCGCCTGGACCACTTTCGTAACCTTTAAATGGAAGCCCGACTCCCCTCCCCCGAGAAAATGTTGATTCCTAGAAATGAATTTTCCCGACTTCTGATATAGCCGTTCCATGATCTGTTTTTCATGTATATGATCACTTACTTCATGGAGGAAAGATATTAATATATTTCCTCCATACTTACTTCTTCAAGACCATTCCATCCCCGATACACTTTCTGTAAAACTGCCACACCCTAACGAATCACCCGATCGAATTTCCATACCGTTAAATTATGCAAACACTTAAATATTTAAATTAGCATGTCTACGTGGAAATAAACACTCATTTTCGTTAACAAAACGTTCGTTAAACGGCAAGTTTCAAATCAAATTTAAATTTTATTCGAGAATATCATCTTTTCCGGTTAAGTTGCGACTGACATGTGTCATGAAATGAAAACAACATGGTTACAACAATGTTGTAAATCCATTGACAATGGAGGAATTATGAATTCAGAAATCTTATTACCAAGTGCTACAGGAAATATTACAATGGGTGACAGCTCAGTTTATTACAAAGTGCGGCAGGGATTTTTTTTTTTTTGTATTGTAAAGTGCGACTGCTCACTTGCTAAAAAGCTCCGATCCCTGGTTTGAGTATTAAATTTTCTTGAATATTGTGGTTTGCTTTGGGGGTAGATGGTCACACCTTGAATGTGTTGGTGTGAGTATTACCTGAATGGTGTGACTTCCTATTGAATCATTTGGAATATGTTTGAATGATTTGAATTTGGTGCGATTGAATTGTTATTGAATGGGTTGTGTTTGGTATTTTTGGCGGATTCGGCTTTCCATACAAATTCATCATAATAGAAGAAGAATGAGAGAATAGGAGAATAATGAATAATGATAACAAATTTGTCTATTGCTCCCGCAAGCGGGCAGTAGAACCAAATAGAAAATGGAAACTATAGAGAGCGTAGGTCAGAAATGCTTTCGTTTGTAAACAAAAAACCTGGCTACCACTGGAAAATTCCGGGAAGCATCTAACAAGAATCAAATTTATGTAAAGTAGAGTGGTTAAATATTATTCAATGTAAGTTTTCCGTTGCATATGTTTATGATGTTTAAGAAGTGATTCATCAGTATTTGTTGTGTATTGTAGATAATTTGGATAATTTAATCTTTGTCCAAAATGCCTAGGCCCTAGGCAGGCCTAGCCTAGGCCTAGGCCCCTACTACTACAATGACTACATTTAAATTGGCCTAGTCTAGCTAGCTAGGCCTAGCCTACTTCTTACTCATCTCTCTAGACCTAACTAGGCCTCAAGAGCCGGCGTATATCAATGTAATGACGGCATACAGTATAGTATGCCAGACCTGCCAACCCCTGGGCCATGAAAATCTGGAGATTTTTTTTTTTAATCTTAAAAATAACTGGAGATTTACCCAAAAATCTGGAGGTTTCCAGAATTAACCAAAATATGATACAATTTACTAAAAAAGACATGTCAAGACAAATCATAGTGGTATAAAATCAATGATACAAAATTACTGCAAAACAACTTATTAATTCCTGCTTGTCTATCGCGGGGAATACATTGAATAATATGTAACGATCTAATAAATCATTTATACATAAAATAATAGGAGTATTTTGCGGAGGGAACCTGTGAAATCAGGTGTACATTCGATCGGAAGAACTGGAAATTTGTTTAGATATCGGGTGACACCCGACAGGATCGGGTGAGTTGGCAGGTCTGGTATGCGAAGGCTAGGCCTACAGTAGGATAGGCCCAAGGCCTACTACCTCCTAAGCCAGCCTACTCCTACTTCCCTAGTCTAAGTAATAGACTAAGTTACCTTGGATATGATTGATGGTTCTACTCTCTGACTCTGTAAAAGAAAAACTTACTAATTAGGCGTAGGGCCTAGAAGATATTAAAGCCCCATTCCCGGCAAGATTTCAGTTGTTAAAAAAAATCTGATTTTTATATATTTTATAAAGATTTAAAAATGTAATACGAAAAATATAATTTAACTGAATTTAGACATTCCTAAACATTAAAAAAAATGTAAAATAAGACTGAAATTTGATTTTTTTGTGTATTCCACACAAAAAATAAATGCGGATGGATTTTTCATGTTTGATTTTGCGATAGGTCTGTGAAGAAACATAGTAGGCGCCGAAAACATTAGCTTATCCAACACTGCTATTCTAGGCCTAGCCTTACCTCGATTTAGGTTCTGTTATCACACATAAAAACGGCCGACATGATATTTTCTGTTTTGACACTTGTGAAATATAATATTTCATAGGAATTATTTAAAATCTTTTAAAAAAATTATTCTGACCGAGATTTTGACAATTAAACAAACATATCTCAGGCCTACTTGATCGATCGCAGTGTGCGAGACGCGAAGTACAAAAACCAATTTCATTAGAGAGGGCGCACTTTAAATATTAAATGTATAAAGTATACATAAAAGCCAGAGCATTCCAGCGGATGCGATCTACAACCTCTGAATTTGCCTAGTAACGAAGAATTCGTAGAGAAAATGGTAATCTCCTTTGAGAAATAGTCTGTATTTATCATTTTTTTAAATTTTTTTGCGTAAAACTAAAAATTATGCCAATATTTTTCCATTGTTTATAATAAATAGAGTAATTCATATGCATTTTTTATTTTAAAAAAATCTTTTTTTAGTGAAGTTTTGCCAGGAATGGAGCTTTAATACAGCAGAAATAAAATTTATTTATTTATTTGTTTTAAAAATAACAAATTTAAAAAAAAAAATTTAAAAAAAAAAAAAGAAATGAAATTTATAAGTTCACGATCATTGGGGTGTAAAGTAAACAAAAAGTATTACCTTGAACCGTAGGACTTAGCTCATTTTTCCCTCTTGTGTCATCTTAGAAAAATAATTGGAATGTACGGTTGAAACTTTAAGTGGTGGCCAGACGAACTATTTTCTAACCCGGACTTTAAACAATTTACTGTCAAAGCAGAAAATGAGTTCCACCCATTTACTAACTCTCAGAGCGAATGCATTTTCTCTGATATTTAATCTTGGTTTAGGTTTGCGTGACTTCATAGAATGGCCTCTTGTTTTCAAATAACTTGCCATATCAAATATAGAATCAATCCTATCAATGTTATGTTATGTATTATTTTATACGTTTTAATAATATCAGTACGCTTTATTCTATAAGTTAATGTAGGTAATTTCAAAACATTAAGCCTAGAAGTATAATCCATTCCTTTTAGTTCCGAGACCAAACAAGTTAAACGTTGCTGTATATGCTCAAGAAACAATCTTTCTGGTAGTGCAGAAGCCAAAAAGATCCTCCAAACTACATAATAGGTCTGATCATTGATTTATACACGTATAACCTTTACTACCTAAGTGTCCGAATGCTCCAGTTATTAAACGTACGGTACAGTAATCTTTTATTTGCAGCACGAGCCACCTTAGAAACATGGGCTGAAAAGTTAAGCTTATTTTAATAATATCAACAACAGTACCCAAGTCGGTTTCTTCTGTGACAGTCTCAATAATCACTCTAGAATCACCTCTTCCAATATAATAATTAAACAATGTATTATTAAATCCAAAATGCATCACCTTGCGTTTATTCAAATTAAACAGAAACTGCCACTGAAGAGACCATTGGTAAAGAGCATCAATGTCTGCTTGAAGAGAAACTCTTATCAGCATCTGTCTTAAATGTACAATTTTTGTGTATTCCTCAAATAACTTTACTACAGAATCAGAAATAACCTCTGGCGCATCATTTATGAAAATGACAAATAACAGAGGCCCCAGGACACTACCTTGGGGAACCCTGCTTGTTACTTTACGCCACCCTGGAACGCCCTAATCCATTTCAGCAGATTGCCAAAAATGCCATAAGATTCTAACTTGAAAATTAATTTACCCTGAGGTATCTTGTCATAGGCCTTCTGAAAATCGAAGTACACATCAAATGGTAGCCATAGCCATAGTGTCCATTGGTTTAAGTAGTGAGTAGAGTCAGAGAGTGCCATCCGAATCTGAGGATGGGCAAAGGAGAAGTTTACCAATTTTATATAATTTGAAAACTGATTTTAACATACTCAGTTTAACATAATATCCCATTTTTGAAATTACGAATCTTGTGCGCGTTCATTTTGTAGATGCTCTAAACCAAGTTGGGGATGATGTACCAGGTACATCGCTCCATCCAAGTTTACCAACAGGCCATTTTAATGCATAGGATTAGGATGATTTTAGACGAGTTCTTTGTATATAATATTCAATGGTAGGCAAAGATGTACCGTAATTGTAGTCGACCTTGGTGGAGAAGACACTTTAAAAACTATTAGGCCTAGGCAGGCCTACTCACAGTTTGTGAAGCAATAGCAACGGACAAAAAATAGGTATGCTGTCATGACTTCCTTGGATAATAGGCCTACCTTTATTAGATGAATTTGATGCAGACTTGTAATCTTACGCCATAATTTTATAAGTTCAGTAGATCTCTTTAGGCCTCCTATACCGCCTAGGCATCGAAATGTTCACGCACTATAACCGACATTTTTTTGACGTTCAGTTGAACACTACGTCTGATTCAGGGTCTGACAATACAGTCCTTGTAATGATACACAAAGATGTCTTCTTCAACCAGGCCTATGATTACTTCTTCTTTGTCTACAGGCAAGATACATTTCATATCATAGGCATTTTAGGAAAAAAAAAATTTATTATTTATTTATTATTTTTGCACATCACAATTTAATGCATACTCTTAATTAAATATATTTATGCTTGCTTCAAACCACTAAATATGTGAAGATATATAAAGATAACATTTGGTGCTGGAGGCATTGGATCAAGATAATTTACATGGTCGGAGGCACAAAATATTTTTTCCAGATTTTCCAGATAAAATTAGATTTTATTTTATCATTACGTCAAAGTAAATACAAATAGACAAGTGTACGAGTTTTACTAACTACATTGATTATTAAATGCAGTGTCATGTATAACAATATGGTTACTTTTGCTATTAAAAATAAATTTGAATTTTTGTGTTTTATCACAAGTGTCAAAAATGATTTGCACTTTACAGAGCATGTATTCATAAAAGTATTCAGTTGAAATGGCACAAGAAGTACCTGTACGTGTTGTTGTAAGGGTAAGTAGCCTGAAATTGTTAATCCAAAAAATATGTCAATTATATTCTCAAAAAATACAAATTTCAGTACAGCCAAACAATCTGTTATGGCAATAAAAATAGTTTATCTGCCTAGCTCTACTTATTAGTAGAATAGTAAGTTGCTTGATTACACTTGTTATCTCTGATCAGTGTATTGTATCCGACTGCTAATTGGTTAATTGTAAGACTATTGCTAATTATGTATGCATAAGCTCTTTTCTATTTGGTTTTCAATTTTTTACTTCACACACCTGATGAAGCTGGCATTGACTGCTAGCGAAAGCTTGTGTTAAATAAAACATCTAAGTTAGTCTCAGAGTGCTGCCTTTTAATTTTCTTTGTATATTGTTTCGATTAACACAGCTTCATTACCACATTTATCAATAAAAATCATGAAAATGAAAAAGAAAATCTTAGAAAAAATATTAATAAAAGCAAAATGTAGAAAGCACATTTAGTATATTGACTATATAATTATGGTATTACAAAAGTGATATTGAAGATTGTTCAAAGAGCATTTTAATTAAAATTATTTTTTCATTCTGGTATGAAATTTTTAGGCTAACAACTACGTTAGTTTTAATTCAGCAAAGCATAATGTACATAAAAAGAAATGACAAGGAATACCTCACATGCTTATCGTAGGCTCACTTTATTCTGTTATTTGTGTCCACCTAGAGAACATTAATTATAAATGCACCTGTTTTATCATATCCTTTTATGTACAGTACAGGTACTACAGTATTCTTTGGGAGCTTTGCCTATGAATCATGTTTTAAGAGGTACAATGTAATTTTTTTTTTCAAATAATCATGCCAGTTTGGCTAAAGCCATTGTACATCTGCAATAAAATTTTATTGCAATAAAAATTCATGAACATTAGTGGGGTTTAATTTATATTTCCTTATATTTTAAGATTCATCTTTAACATAATATTCTCTTTATGACTTCTGACCTGCCTGCATGTAATTAATAGTATCCTTGTAAAGTTGTAGTTAAAATAGTTACAGTAAAATTTACTGATTATTATGAGAGGTTATGTATGTGTTTAATTAACCATTTTTATCCTGTTACTAGGTAAGACCACTACTTGCCAAAGAGAAGCTCCATCGCCATGAGCAATGTGTGCGTGTCCTGTCAAACTCTCACCAAGTGGTGCTAGGCCGGGACCGAGCCTTTACCTTTGACAGTGTCCTGGGTTCAAAGAGTACTCAGGTGAGGTCGCAACATTCTTTTATGCAGTGATGTAACAAAGCGGCCCCTGTCTGAGGCTTCTTTGGCCCTGCTACACTGGGGGCTGGGTCCAGGTACAGCCTAATTGAGGTGTACGTTTGCAAACCTGCCTATACCACTTCGGTGTTCTTGACATATTAGCTGCATATTATTATACTGTATTCTTTTTTAGCTCTTTAGAAGGCCCCGTTCGACTAATTTTTTGAGGCAGAAATATTTTTTTGTAGTCCTTTTACTTTGTTCTCTACATTTTCATGGGTTGTCGTCATTTCAGGGTACTGCCATAGTGCTAATTCAAATTCAAATTTAATTTGAGAACAGTTTGATTAAACAAAATAATAGGATTTAATAGTTGAACTTTCAGCTGTGATTGTTTCATTGGCAAGATGTATTTTTTACAGTAATCTTAAATAAACAAAATAAATAAATAAAAAACCTGCCCCTATTTATCATTTAAAAAAAAAAAGAAGGGCAAACAAACAATTTATTTTATTTGGCCTTATGGTGAACATTTTAAAGAAAACCACCATTCCATATCACTGGAATATATTATATTATCGCTTATTAACACATTAGGAGAGAACCAATTACTGTTTTTGAAAATCTGATTTACCAGATTGATGTCAAAATGTTTTTTTTTTTTTTTTTTTTTTTTTATAGGAGGAAGTGTATAGCACTTGTGTTGAAGGACTTGTTTCCAGTCTGTTTGAGGGTTACAATGCAACAGTATTCGCTTATGGTCAAACTGTAAGCCTTATTTACTCATTTATTTATTTTTAAATATTTTTAAGAATCTGATGATATTAATATTCTGGTATCCTTCAATGTACATTGACATAGTATTGTACCTTTATAAGAATATTTCAAAATAGGCCTTCTGTTATGAACTATTTAGAAATCCATCAAAAAATAAATTTAAATTAATATATTGAATATTTAATTTGAAATGATCAAATCCAATGAGACAAAAAAAAAAAAAACATGAATAGGTTTTCACTTGCTAGAATTGTTTTATTTTATTCTATTTTTTTTATTTGAAAGCTATATATTAACTGTTTTAAATGTACAAAGTAAATAATTTGAATATGTTTTAAAAATTTATTTTTAGCACATCACAGGCTATTAATTAATGCAAAGTCTATGTGAATAATTCATGATTTAATATTAATTCTTAATGATATTATACTCAGTGTTTGGCATTTCTAATGATACTGTATTATTAATTCTCAATGGACTACTGTACTGTTGACTCTTATTGATTTCTTTACAAAAGGGTTCTGGGAAGACGTTCACAGTTGGTGGTGGTAATTACATCAACATAACGAATGATGAATATGGAATAATACCAAGAGCTGTGCAACATATATTCAACAAAATAAAGGTATCCAATTATACATTGCCTCACTAATATTGTGGTATCTGGCGGTAGCCACTGGGTGCGTGCTGAACCATGGAGATCTCTAGGTCCCCAGTTCAATTCCTATCGCTGCCTCTCCTTGTATTTTAGCTCGAGGGCTGAAATACAAGTTATTATAGCGCACCGTCTTTCGGATGAGACGTTAAAGCCGTTGGTCCCGTGTGCATTGATGGCCCATGTGCACGTTAAAGAACACAGTACTCTCATCGGAAAAGAGTAGGGGATTGTCTCCCGGTGTACTGCCCAATCACCACCAGAAGGACCCCACTGGAAATAAGTCTTTTAGACTTTCGTGGGCTATCCTTGGCGTTTACACCCAGTAAATCCAATATTGTCTATTATCAATCAATCAACCAAACATAAGTCAATGTAATATATTTGTTTACATTTATGAGCATATTATTTCATAATTCTGATGGTTACCTTTTGTTAAGTTAAATGTGTTTATTCTGAAACCGACATTAATGGTTCAGGTGTCTCAAGTCACAGGAGTTTCCGGAAATAGGAACATAAGTCAATGTAATATATTTGTTTACATTTATGAGCATATTATTTCATAATTCTGATGGTTACCTTTTGTTAAGTTAAATGTGTTTATTCTGAAACCGACATTAATGGTTCAGGTGTCCCAAGTCACAGGAGTTTCCGGAAATAGGGGGAAAAATCTGCCAGAAAAAATAAAAAACCATCTTCCGAAAATTCACGATATTTGCATGTTTTTACTACTGTATTATCAATTGTTCCCCCCCCCAACATAAGTCAGTGTCCATGGGTATAACCAAAGAGTATAAAACTGCAAGAGGTCCGACTGCCAGGGATTCTTTGGAACACAATCCTATTTCAAAAAGTACTACCCAAAAGGGGCGTGGCCTTTAAAAGAACGTAAAGTGCGTTCATATCGAACGTGTGCTGCGCGTCTATAGAATGTATGCTGGAATTCGAAACGCAGTACGCTTTCAATAGGAACGCCTTTTACGTTCTTATGAAGGACACGCCCCTTCGTGGGAGTACTTTTTAACTTTCCATTGCCTGTATACAAAAAAAAGGCAGTCGGACCTCTTGCAGTTTTATACTCTTCGGTATAACCATATAAAATTTGATGCATTAAAAAAGCTTATTAAACATAACTCCCAGAAGTGGCTTCATCCAACCCACCTTTGGACCACTGATGATTGTAATTTGTATAACTACACTAAAATTAGTATAAAATTTGCATAATAATTTTAATGAATGACAAGTGAAAGTTCGGACCATAATTGTTTGATTTAAATATGCATTCAGAAAAATAATAACCTTTTTTGATAGTGTAAGTACAAATATATGAAAGCTGACATTTGGCATAGAATTGATATTGTATATCATATAATCTGGTAAATAAAGGAAAAGTTTTACCATACTATATAACTAATATGCCATCTGGTAGTTTAACTTGCACTTGTGCATGTTGAAAGTCAAAGAATGTAAACAAATAAGCCAGCCTATCACAGAGCATATGAACACGTATGATGAAACACAACCATTCATTACCACCAACAACCCGGGTAATTCAACTACATCAATGAACACATTGCTCATTGATGCATACCTCATTTGCATTTTCTACATAGATGTAATGTATACTTTGTATCTGTGATATGTGTAGTCTATTTCGTGAATACTTACCTGGATAACCGACTAATTGCCATTGTTCCCAAAACGGAACACCCCTTCGGGAAAAAAATGGAACAGTCCGACCCAAGGCGCCATGTGCAAACCGTCTCCCTAACAAACGTTGTTCGAAGTCGGATCATCTAGCCTTTGAAAACTAGCAGGAATTTTCAAGCAATTCTGTTCTCCTTGGATTTATTTTTGCCTTGGATTTATTTTCAACTAGTGGTTGACAAGATATCCTTTTTATTGTAGTCTCGATCGGTTTCCATGTCCGCTCGCAAGTCTTTATGCTCGGCGTGTGGGGGGGCCCAAACCGAGTGTTAAGCTCGACCGGCACTCAGAGTGCGAGATTTGTGCGCGCTGGCCCCCGACTAAGTTTGCGGCGGCTCTGGATTGGGCAGCTCAGACTGCCACTCGATCTCAGAGTTCGCTGTCGGCTGCGTCGGGGGTTGTAGCGGCGCAGGATGACTCTCCTCCTCCGCTCGAGGGTTCGTCAGCTTCGCTTTTGGCGGGTCCTTCCCCTCCGCTGGACCTGGCGCTGGTTTCGTTGATTTCAGAGCAGGTGGGCCGGGTGGCTCGGGAGGTTTTCGCCGGAATGCGGGCCGCTTCGGCGGTGCCGGATCCTCCGGTTCCCCCTGCCCCTCCTGTCCCTGGGGATGGGTTCCGTGTGGCCGGCGAGTCGCCTATGGACGACTCGTCCGAGCATCTTGATTTCGGAATCTGAGGACACTGTCCTCGGCTCCGATCTCTCAGCTCGTGGCCCGGGCGATGCCGCCCATCCTAGACCATTTTGAGACTCCGTGCCGGGGTGGTTTGGGGGCGGGCCTGTGGGGGCCGCCGGCTCCTGCACGTCCCGCCCACCCTGTCCCGGTTGTGGGACTCCACCCAGACCTCATCCTTCGCCTGAATTCCTAGCGAAGAAGCAGACTCTGGCGCATTCCCCTCCGCCTGTCTTCATTCCCACCATTTCCTCGCACTCTTCAGTGCAGGAGGACAGGGTTTGGTGCCCTGTGCGAGCTCTGCGGTTTTACATTCATCGCACGCGTCCGTTGCGCAGCACGGATTCGCATTTGTTTGTGTCTTCAGTTCGGCCCCATGGGCCTGCTTCTGTTGATACCATTGCTCGCTGGGTGGTTTCGGCCATCAAAGCCGCTTATGCGTCAGCTCGCAAGCCTCCGTCTGCCCACATGCATGAGGTTCGCGGCACGGTGGGTTCTTGGGCCCTCTTTCACAGGGTCTCCCTCGCCGACATTCTGGCAGCGGCATGGTTGAGATCGGAGACTACGTTTTCATCTTGCTACTTGCGGGATGTCCTGTCGACCCAGGCGTCGGTAGCGGCTGCTGTGTTAAAGCCGTCTCTGTAGGTAAGTCTTCTGGTTTCTGATCACGCCCGCCTCCTCTTTACGCTGCTAATCTGGCAATTAGTCGGTTATCCAGGTAAGTATTCACGAAATAGACTACACAAATCAATCGTGATGTTGGTAGTCTATGGGTGAGATACTTACCTGGATAACCTTCCCTCCCTTCTTACCCTCGCCGTGATCGTGTCGATCTTTAGGGAATGAGGACGTTTGTTAGGGAGACGGTTCGCACATGGCGCCTTGGGTCGGACTGTTCCATTTTTTTTCGAAGGGGTGTTCCGTTTTGGGAACAATGGCAATTAGTCAGTTATCCAGGTAAGTATCTCACTCATTGACTACCAACATCACGATTGATTTGTGTAATATTTATTCTTTTTGCAAACGTACACAACTAGGTTTGTTTATTATATTCCTTGACTTTTGACATACACAAGCATGAGTCAAACTTCAAAATGACCTATAGTAACGTTTTTTTTCTTAGTCCAATGAAAATGTGGAACATACCATTACTGTGTCATACATTGAAATCTACAAAGAGGAACTACGTGACCTCCTGGATAGAGAGACTAGCAGTAAGGACATGCACATCAGGGAGGATGAACATGCCAACACAGGTATGGTTATAATTTTTACTTAACACGTTCGCTGCCAGCGATGAGTATACTTGTCCCACAGGGTGTTGTCATCAAACCCTGGGTAACATTCTAACGTTTATTACGTCATTGTTATACATTTTAGAACCACAGACTTAAGGCTGGTAGTTTGGGAAAGATACGCCTAGACGATAAACGTGAAATAACGTATGTACGTTTGTTGTGTTCTGTTGCCGGCCATAACTTGATTGCATGAAGGGAGGCGGCCTGTGAACATATACCAAGCCATGTAAAAATCACATTTGGCGACAAGTTTACTCGTCCCCTAATATTTTGCGCCAATTTATTAGCCACACTATTTTAATAGTATGACTATATAAAATTTACAAAAAGTGTGTTTGTACATGTACTGTATACTTGTTTTGGCACCTGGGAAGGAACCTAAAAAAGGTCTGGCAGTCAGTGTGTTAAAGGCATTTTCATTTGGGCCTTTTTTAATGACATCAAGTCTTTTTATTAATTTTATGAAGTCATTTTGCTCAGTCATTTTTGGGCAATTTTACAGAAATAGTTGTAGGCCCATTATTAACTATGAGAATAAGATTGAAGATATTTTTTTATAACAAAAGTCATATTTTCCTTTTTACTTAATTAAAGTAATGATACCTGTGTAGAAGTTTGTTGTACACATTTTAAATTGCAAGGAGATTAGTAAGTTTGTTGTTGCTGTTGCATTACAGCTATATGAGCAAATGGCTATCATATCATTTAAATTATGAGTTTTAACTTGGGGTTTTCCCACCAGTTATAATTGGAGCCAAGGAAACGCCATGTGGTTCAATGGAAGATGTGATGAGTTGCCTTGCGTCTGGTTCCTCTCATCGTCAGACAGGTTCTACGAATATGAATGAGCATTCTAGTCGATCTCACGCTATCTTCACCATAGTCTTGCGTGAGTTTTATACACATGTATATGTTGTACTTTTATAAGTATAATTTTAAAAATATAAATATATACATTTATTTAGATAGAAATGTAAGATTTGGGCATTTTTAGACATTGACAATATTAGAACATGGATCATTGAAAATGTTTATAAAATATACAATTAAATTATTTAGTTTTGTTAATCTAAATATATTAGATAACTTATTAATTTATCAAGTAAATCATGGTTCAGCTGTTTACGTAAGATTTTTTTTTTGTTTGTTTTTTTTTATAATGAATAAGTTTTTTTTATTTTTTCAATTTCTAGATCAAAATTGGCAGGATGAAGATGAGAAAGATAGGAAACCAAACAAAAACCATGAGGATGATGTGACATACAATCACCTTAGAACGTCCAAATTCCACTTTGTGGATCTAGCTGGCTCAGAAAGAGCCCATCGTACTGGAAACGCAGGAGAAAGGTTCAAAGGTAACAACTTGCACCTGTGATAATTGAATCAATAATTGTCTACATACTGCACATTGTTCAGGATATTTGTATTTGGTTCAACAAGAACTATATAGTTAAATTCAAATCATATTGAATTGAGCCCCCAATTGAGCCTTCATTTGCTATAATCTACTAGAAAAGTCACATAAATGTTTTTTACAACATGCACATGCTCATGCAAACCTGTTCTTAAAAGTACAATGTCAACTTTTAGGGGATTTTTTGTTTATTTTTTTAATTATTTTCGTTTCTACCTTTTGTGGAGCACAGAAAACTATGTAATTATTAATGCATCTTTTATTGTTATGTGTTATTAAGTGTATGGGTGTGGTATCTGGATTTGTGTTAAATTCTAAGGACGTTCATTACATTTAAATGTCTAATTATTTTATGTACCATGTAGTTCAAAATTGAACATTTTTGTGTAAAATTTTTGTAATGTATTTTCTAATTCCAACAATCTTATTTTGTGTCTATAGAATCTGTTTACATCAACAGTGGTCTCTTAGCATTAGGTAATGTAATTAGCGCCCTCAGTGACCAGAAGAAGAAGAATGCTCATATCCCATACCGAGATTCAAAGATAACAAGGATCTTGAAGGACTCCCTCGGTGGTAATGCCAAGACATGTATGATAACGTGCATTAGCCCATCAGCAGTCAATTTTGATGAGACGTTGAACTCTCTGAAATATGCGAACAGGGTATGTAAATATATGTGTAAATAATTTACGTAGCATGCAAATACTGTATAATATGCAGGTATGTAAAAGTAAATTTTGTAGTAGTTTATGTAGAGTATTTGATGAAAGGTTTCTTTATTGTTGAACCAAGTGATAAAAATGTACTCAGATAGAAACGTCCATTTAAGTTTTTATCACTTGGTTCAACAGAAAAGAAATCTCTCAAAAAGTTTACTGTGGAACCACAAGAATCTCTTTTCTGATAATGTAGAGTATGCAGATATACACATGGCATATGTAGATTAAGTATGAAGGCATGCATATAGGATATGAGATAAGCAAATAAAGTATTGAGCAATTCAATAAATTGATCTTCATGCATTGAAAAGAGAACAGGTAAATCAAAGTTGGAAAGGTAAGCACCAAACAAATGCTAAGCATCTATGCAAAGTTGGCCAACCCCAAGCAAAAGAATGTTACAGATTTATATTATTGCGCCTTAAATTGGTGGTGTTTGGATTTTATCTGCCTTGTTTTTTTTCTCACTTTCCGGTTTTCATCACAGAATATTAGTAAAAATTACCAAATAAAGTGAAATGCTCTGATCTTCATGAAATAGCGCTATATAAATAATGTAATGTATGATATAAATTACTATATTACTGAATCAAAGATAAGAAATTTATTTCAAAAATACTGTCCTATATTTAATTTAGAAATATATGATAATTTATAAAAATTTAATTTGCTTTTAACAGGCTAAAAACATAAAGAATAAACCAATAGTGAACCAGGATGTTCAGTCTATTAGGATGGAGGAGATGCAAACTGAAATCCAAGCACTACGAGAGGAGTTACAGCGACAGAAGACCGCGTTCGGAAATGCTGAACAGAGTGGAGAAGATAAAGAGAGAGTCCTCACCCTTGAAAAGCAAATGCGAAGGTTTGATAACATAATTAAAAAAAAAAAAAACAATTTTGCAATGTTTAATACATTCTGTGGGAATTGTCAAAAAAATTAAATGCTATGAAGGCAGATAGAGATAATGTTTAAGATAGATTAATTAATCTATTAATTAATAGATAGATTTAGATAGATAGATTTAATTTTTAAGATAGAGTAATCTTTAGCATCATAGAGAACAATAGACTGGATTCTAAATTTTGTCTTAACTATTATTTGTGACCTTTTATAACTTTTAGAATGCATTTACTTATCTATAATCAGAAAACAAAAACATAAATATATAAATAATTGAATAAAATTAACAAATACAGGAGACAATAACATTCAGTACACTGACTGGGTTAATACTTGCTCTTAAACTTATTGATTAATAAGCAGTTATTGTAGTTGTGAGCCATTATGCTAATTAAAAATTATTGCACAAAGTTAGATTACTGCATGAAGCCATTCTACAATAATATCTATCTAGCATATAACTATATTATTTAATGTTACATACAATTTGGCTTAACCGCAAAACACAGTGTGGATGTAAAGCTGTAACAGGGTGAAAACAACATTCTGGCATTATACAATTTTTCTATAATTTGTAAAACTACATGCTTTTTGGATAGAGATAAAAAGGAAATTAACATGCAAACTTTAAGAAAAAATAAATTGTGTTTCTATATAGTATCAAAACAACATGCGCTCATTTCAAAGTGTGCACCGAGGAAGCAAAGAAGATTTTCATGGATCTTTTGAACTTACAAGTGGTGAACAAACCCCAGGCTGGATCTATTCAGAATTGGATGGATCTGGTAGAGGAGGCTAACAGCCACATAAATTCTGAGCAGGAGGAAAGTGACCAAGGTAGCACCAGAGTGGCTGAATTGGAGTCTAAATTGAAGAAGGTATAAATATATATATTTTTTTAATACTGAAAATGGCTATTTGATGTCATCATTTTTTAGCTATATTCTTCCTTATAGTTTTTTTGAAAATGTAAATACCCTGAGCTCCTGTTTTCTGATTGGCTATTAAGCATCTAGGCGCATTCCCAGTGTGCATGTTTGCTCACCTTTGCAGTTTACTAGGATTGTCTATGATGTGGGCTAATATTGTGTTTATGAGAATCATTATTGTTGATTTTTTTTTTCTTTCTAGGCCCTGGCTGATCTTGCAAGTGATGAGGAAATTTTTGCTGAGAAAGTCAAGGAAGCAAACATGCTACAAGAACGTGTTGAAGAATTGGTGAGTTCACATTTATAGCAAGGAAATTGGTGACCCCCTCGCACTCATGTTTTTTACATTTATTGAAAGAGAATTGGTGATTCTCACTCACATTTATTACGTTCACATGTATAGCAAGAAAATTGGTAATACCCACGCACTTTACACAATGTTCACATTAAATTTTTTTATTCAAAGAGAATGGTAATTTTCACTTACTCATTATGTTCACTTTTATAGTAACAGTATAGATATAAAAAAAAAAGTTTTACTCTACCCATTGCTATAAACACATAAGAACTACCATCCTAGGATTACAGCTTTCTTTCCAAAAGAGAGCAATGCAAACCAAAATTAAGACAGAAAAGCAAAAAAATAAATATAAATATGTAATTGAAAAAGTAATACATCTTGAAGGCATAACATCTGATTTAAAATTGGAATCAATGGACACACAGAATGCAGTTAAAATATTCTTAATTGAATTCAAATGGAAACATGTTTCTTCCTTTCCAAGTACAGATCATTTTAATCATACCCTAAATTTATATTTATTAATGCTGAAATACATTGTTAATTGAATCTGGAGACAGCATCTTTTTATTAAACTAAATTTGTCTCTTAACTTAAGAATATTTGTTTAGCACACTTAATTATCATCTAAGTATAGGCTCAGTTTGATCTGCATTTAATTTCTGAATATAACCATCTCCATTTTTTTTTTCATTTAGTCAAGATTGATATTGTGGTTTTATAAAATATCTTACAGGAGAAATCTGGGCTAGAGATGGCAAGTTTTGTTGAAGAAGCAATGGAGAGAAACAGACTGCAAGAGGAAGCCTTAGTACAACAGCAGATTAAGATTGATGAGTTGACTGAGCTGCTAAGGGACCTTGAAGATAAGGTTTGTAATTCTAAAGTCGATTGAGGCTTATATACAAATCAGCATATCCACATGCTACAAGAACGTTCACTGCCTCAGGAGAATGAAAACATTTAGTGTGTAATTTGATTAAGTAAAATTGAAGCCTACAAGCTAGAATGGATTTGGATTTCTAAGCTATTGGAAGCTTCTTTGGAATTTCTAAGCTATAATGAAATATTTTTTCTGCAATATTAAACATTGCAAGTTGTCTACAATTGCTGCTTTTCTATTTCAGTTCTTTAAAATTGATTTCTAGAAGTTCCAAAAATTATAATTTTAATACAGGTACGTCTCTCTCTAATTAAAAGCCACCTCCAATTAAAGACCACTTTTCTGTGGCCCTATTCATTCATTTATTTGAGCAATAGTTAACAAACTGTACAGACATAAAATTCAAGTAGGAACAAGGACAAAAATTGAAAGATTGAAAGATGTTTAAAACTAAAAAAGAGTCTTGGGAAAATGGTTAATAAAAAAAATTGCTTAAGAAAACAAGATTGAAACAATGATTATATTAGTAATTATTAAGATAATTACAATTAAAACTTTCCAAAATGTTTCTCAAAACAGTTTTGCAAAAGCTAGTCTTGATAAAATTGTTTTGAACTTTTAAAAAGCGTTTAAATTTAAGAATTGGATTAATGCAGATAAAACACATCACATGGGAAATACAAAAAATAAGACATATAACAAATGTGTTTTATCTTTATTATTCTAATTAGAAACCAATGCTGCTAAAGACCAGGGAATCCTCGGTCCCAAAAATGATCTTTAATTGGATGGAGACCTGTAATAATAGTTCATTTCGTGAATACTTGCCGATATAACCCAACCGAATGTTCCTAATTGAATATGCCCACAAAGAAAATGGAACCATCCATCCCCAGCACCTCATAATAATTAGAATTCTTATCATCGTGTTGTTTGTTGACAGGAAAGACAAAATGTGAGCACAATAGACCCTTTGCCAGTTTCAAGTCGAAGAGCAAAGTCAGTGCCTGCTCATTTGATTGGTCGAAGAAGAACGACCTCTGAATCTGGGGCTAGTGGTCCAGAGAGACCCCAAAGTAGGCGCTTACACACAAGTCCACCCTTGGTATGTAGTTATAGTGTGTGTTGGCTGATTGGCTAATTGATTTTACTCTTTACTTTCATATGAATGTTATATATTGTGACCTTGTGTCACATATTTAAATTGTGGTTGTATCAAACAGACTATAATCATGTCAAAGTTGTAGTGATTTTTCTCTCTTACTGATTTATTGTTTCATTTATTTGTTTATTTAATTTATTGTTTTTTTTTTTATATAGTTTTCTCTAGATCGTATTGTTCAGGGTTTCCGAGCCAGAAGTCAGGTTCTTGTGAAGCGTATTGAAGATGATGATGAAGTGCTCCATCAGCAGTTTGGTGGCTCCCTTGAAGATAGCTCTGATGATTCTGAATTTAGTGCTAATAATAGGTACAGTATGATGTAATCTTACGGGTCAAACATTTTTTTCTCTATGGTTTCAATTTTAGTAGTAACTAGTAACTGCCCCTGTAAGTCAGGAATTATCCTTAAAAACTCTCAGAAAAGGTCAGGAAATATCCCCAGCAAATCCCCAATAACTCAAGAATTACTCCTAACAACTCACTTGATAGGATATATCTGCCCATTAAAGAATATCAAACAAATGTAATAAGACAGCAAGTGAAGTTAAAAACAGAATACAGTTCACCCTCCAATTCGAGACCACCTTTGGGACCTGAAAATCTGGGGTGGTCTCAGAGTTGGTCCCAATTAGAGGGCTAGCTTTTTGTTGGAAGATTGAAGATTGACATTTGGGTCTTTTAAAAAAGGGTCTCGAATTAGAGGGGTCTCGGAATTAGAGGCGTCTCGAATTGGAGGGCGCACTGTACGACAAAATGTAGTTTAGCTCTTGTGTTTTTTAGACTGACGGTTCACAAACTGTAGCTGAACTTGTAGAGTGGAGCACTTGCCTTCCCATCCTGTGGTTCTGGGTCCAATTTCTGTTATGGTAGCTGGACTTTTTTTTGTGACCAAAAACAAACCTACTCTCTTTGCCCCTAGTGAATGTTTGTCTTGTGTAGGGGATTACCACTTAGATGTGATTAAGTTTGCTATTAGCATATTTTTAGTGCTTGGGCTTAAATATTATATTTTTAAATAAAAAGATAGTTCAGGCCTTTTATTATAACACTTTTCCAGTGGGTCAGGGAAAAGCCTGTTAAATTGTACTAATAATAATAAAATAACAAAAATGATGATATTATTATTATTATTATTTATTATTATTATTATTGTAATTATTATACATTTGTATCTTTGCAGCCCATTGGGTCAAACATGGAGTTACAAGAAGACCATGAAGTCTGCTCCTGGTGGGACATCTCGCATTGGAAGGAAAAGTAAAATTCCAACTGGTAATGTTTATGAATTTATTCAGTTGTAGTTAGATGACATTTTTTTTGTTGATAAATTTCAGTATTTGGTTATGTATTTTTTATTAGATAGATAGTAATACAGAGTTGAATTATAATTGTAATAAACAGTAATTCAATGTGTAACCTACAGCCATAATATTGGTGCTGGTTCGAACGACATGCTTGCCTATGGTACCGGAGGTAGAATAAGTCTTCTCGGATAAGGTCCATAAACCGTAGGCCCAGTGTACACAACTGGCTCATGTGTGGGAGTTATCCCGGTGTACTGGTCCATAGCCCCTGTTGTAGACAGATGAGAGTAGCTGGTACCAGTTTATCAGCCAGCTGAGACACGAAGAGACCCTTAGGGGAGAAGAAAGTCACTTTGAGCACTCTGATCTTTATGAAATAGCGCTATATAAATGATGTTTTGTATGTATGATTGAGGGGATGACTGAAATTTAATCTAAGGCACAAAATGCATATTTGACTAAAAACTCGGGAACGGTTAATGAGATCCAGGTTTTTTATATTTTAAATACTGGGAGAAAAAGAGGCGTAACCACCCTTTTTAAAACATTTATTTATGTCTTTCGTCTTTCAATTTTTTTTTGTTCAGGTACAATGGTATTAAATGATGGTCTTGAAAGATCAGAGTTGGATGTAGATGATTTAAGAACAAGCACCGAACAAAATGAAAAGAAAGTGCGAGAGTCACAACTACGTTCCAATCAGGCCCACCAGAAAATGAGAGAACTCACTCTGAATATAAGGTGAGTTTCATTTATTTTTCTTCAACCTGATATAAATAATATTTAATAATGTTTTTGGCTTTATTGCAAGTAAAATATTTAAAATGTTTATTTTTGCTCATGTATTGTTTTCCCCTCATCTGCGACTAAAGCTTTGTATTTTCAAATACCTGAGTATGTGATCTTTAAAATGAGAGGTCATTCATTCAAATTGGACATTTCAAACCTAAGTTATTGGAAAGTGAAAGTACAGTACTCTTAGAGTCAAGATAAACA